CGACTTTTGTAAAGTTAATTTGACAATTAATTTACAAAAAGTATACTCGTTTTTGAGACTTGCTGCTCTATCTATATAATCTAAGGATATAGCTTATCTTTATCTTGGTCAGTAAACATATATAGGTAACGCGAACAAAACCACAGGCAAAAGCTAGTATAAGTATGATAATGAGTGATGTGCGTGGTAGGGGGACAAACGAATTATCAGTAATGGCGGTCTAACAGCCATATTTCTAACAATATACCTTATCAGGTCGACCTCTACGTGGTCCCTCCTGGAAACCATCGTTATTCATTCTTGTAGAGTTCGTTACAAAGGGCTAACTGACCTTCTTTCATCCTCACCTATCATCTCATCTCTTACTGATACCCCGTCAGCGTATACGAATAACGCAGGCGGGTATTATTCCATTCTCATCCACTAAAAAAAATTTTAGAGTAATATATACTGAAATCACGCAATAAAAATAATAACAGGCCGTATAGTATAAAAGTTCCCTAAGTCTAGCCAACGGTACTCCCACCAAATCGACTAAGAAACAATTCATAGCCAACGGAGCTGCACTTTATGGTTATGTCTGAGCCCTGAGGATTTGTGACGTCATTGGTGAGAGAATAAAGCCATAGTTATTGTTGGTGCCCACTACTAAAACTGGGCCGGCCCTTCATGGTTTATGTTAGGCGGTTTTATAGCCCACGGGCTGGGATAAGGCGCAAGGTAAGAAAGCTTGTCTAAAATATATTGACATTTAAAATAACAATAAAGTCTCCGACGGCCACAAATTGCGGGCTTAACCGGATGCTATGAGGCTTTCGGAGATTTATCACATTCATTGATTATTAAACATTCCATAGTGCTTTACGCTGTCTAATGAGAATAAAGAAATTTATGTCATAACTTCGCAGTAATGACCCATTTTTAAAGGTCTTTGCAATGGTACGCGATAATTTTGCAAATCTAAACCGGTTTTGGTTTAATTAATTCTTTTTTCTCAAACATGCTTGGAAATATGAGCATTATTTTGACAATCTTCTTCGAGATAAATCAAAATTGCCGTACTGGCCAGATACACGTGGGCAGCGGCCGGCAAAAGTTGTATGAAAATCCATACCTGTCGTGTTTTGCGGCCAGATAAATTACTATGTAAACTCATATCTGTTCTGTAATTTAAAAATGGAATGACCATTTACTTCGAAACATGGCTACCAAGGAGGTAACTAATAAAAGCTTTTTTATTTTTTTCTTTTCGTGCATGTGCCGTAGCAACACAAAATGATCACAACAATCAAAGGAGCCGTACAACGTGGTTTCAGAGATGTTTTCTCCCACGAACACTCAGGTTATGGAATGCCTGCCGAGGTTTTTCCAAGAGACTACAGCATGGGGTTCTTCAAATGGGAGATAAAGAGGTTTCTTCAGAGTTGGCAACGCGCGCGTAATACCCCTGGTATTGAAGGCTTTCATAGGCTACGGTAACCACCTATATGGTGGGCCGTGTGCTTGTTTGCCACCTCAGTGATATAAAAAGAATCAAAAAGAGAAATCGAAAGGTCAAGTCGTATACGAAGGTCAAAGTTATAGCCTGGAATAGAGCTGACTAGAAGAGAATACATGAATTAGTTGCCCGGACTAGAAGTAAATCTCTCCAATCAGAAGATGGATCACAGATGCTAATAAAAAGCATAAGCTCGTAAAATAAATTGTCACTATTACTATTTAATAGCTGTAGTGAATTCAGTCAAGTCCTAATATTAATATAATAATACAACACGTCCCATTGCTAGCAATATATCCCATAAGGTCGACCTTCACGTGATCCCCCCTGATCCCATCGTGCTGAATTCCAGGTGTATTTATCACGATAGGCTAACTGACCTGCTCTTTCATTTTCAATTATCATTCCTCACTGGTGCCCCGCCGGTGTATACCGATAGCGCAGGCAGGGTTATCAAACCATTATCATCCAATATTCATTAAAAAAATATATATTAATATTGATAAAAGAAACCAGTAAATAAAAGTGAATCTAAAGATTTTCTAATTTTATTATCGCTTTATACAGATATATTGATTTGAGTCGGTCCTAAATTTTTATATGTAATTTTTCATATCTATAAACCTCTTTTTGTCTATGTATTATTTCAATATTGGGCATATCTATAATTGATGCAAATACTGTATTTTGTTTTTTAATGTATGTGGTGAATATATTTGTATTATTGATTTGCCTAAATTAATAAATAAATCTTAAACACCACAAATGCTAACAATCACCTAAACACGATGGTTGACTCACCTGTCACCCGTCATACTCGTGAACGGCTGTTTGTGAGGACAGGTCTGCTCATGTTTACTACTTATGGCTTATTATAAAATTTTACTTCAAATAATATATATGTAAATAAAACAAACGCGAATACAAAACGATAATGATGATGAGTACATCATCATCATCATATCAGCCTTTAACTGTCTACTGCTGAACACAAGCCTCTCTCTTGTGGGGTGTTGCCAGTAGTTGCCATGCATGACAGACGGATTGGCAACCGCAGTTAGGCTTTGGAGATGTTTTAAAAGGGACGCTGCTGCCCATCCCTCGCCCTCCCTTAGTAGCCTCTTACGACGCCCACCGGGAATGGCCTATTCTATGCCGGGACCATACGGCTGTACTCAAATAAAAATATAATATTCTAAATATAAAACTACCCTAATTTTGTAATTGAATTGTAAAAGATTTACCGCTGAGTTTCTTACGAGATATTTTCAGACGAGAACATTATGAACTTAACGGTATACTCATGAAAAAGTAAGGACTTTTTTTTTTTATGGGTGAAAATGGTATGGTAACCCCGCCTGCGCTAACGGGATACGCTGGCGGAGCACCAGTGAAGGGTGATAGATGAGAATGAAAACAGGCCAGTTAGCCCATCATGATAAATTCATCAGGAATTAACCATGATAATTTTCAGGGAGAACCGCGAAGAGGTCGACCTGATTGGATATACTGCTAGCAATGGTATTCTCAGTCTCCATTACTAACAATCCCCTTCCTCCTAAAAGTAAGGACTGTACATGTAAACAAGTATTTTTATATAACAATTTAAGATAATGTTCCACAAAACAAACCAACTTAAACAAAAACAGTTACTTTGATTAAAAAACTGTGACAAAAATTCTATGAAATTTCATCCTTTTTAGATAAATAATTCCAAATCGGTTTAGAATTGACGGAATTATGATTTTTTAATGCAAGTTAAAATAGCAATCGAGCTGACGGCTCACCTGATGGAAAGTGGTAACCGTCGCCTATAGACATGAGCAGTACCATGGACATAACAGCGTTGCCATTCCTGAGAACTCAGGTGTTATTCTTCTGTACTTTGTAAATTCACTGCCATAACCTATCCTTCAAACCGAAACGCAACCATGCAAACACAACTGCTTCACGGTTAAAACACGAATGGAACAGAGCTACCCAAGCAATCGACCATTGTACAAAATCTCCGTGTGTTAAGCAATGAGGTAACAAACATTTAAAAAAATACAAACGAAATGAGACCTTTTGGAAGTCGATTGAAAAATTATTATTTCTAATCTAACGAAAGAATTAATAAATTAATGAAGTCGTGCTCGCGTCAGTCACTCATGACTAAGGCTCACGAATTGATTTCGAAACTTTTCCGGACCTTTTTCGATCTAATTAAACGTAAGTTAAACCGGTAGTTAAAAAGAGATATCCTCGGAACGGTGAGGTCGCTCTATGAGGCTTGTGAACATCCCAGGAAGCTTCTGTACTTCTGGGCGGAGCTAGGTTGGCTGTACTGGCCACGACTCATACGCATAACCAAATGAGAAGCTAACCGCGGAAAATAGAGTCCTATTTACATTACATTACATTACCGGTAGTTAAAATAAAAAAAAAATTAATGTAATCTGAATTCGTCAATCAGGTACAACACTATTTCGATAGAAGCGGAGATGCCGACGGACTTGTGACATAAGCGTTGATACTCAAACATACTGCCAAATCCGGGAGCACCTCTTCTCATCAGCTCCATTATTATTTGGCAGCCTCCCAAAATAATTACTTACGTAAGCCAGTAGTCCAATTGGTAGGTACAAATGGATCGCGGTGTACCTTGATGCACGAATTAGTAGATAGGTACGGCACTTCTGACGTCAGTCGTCAATAATTATGTGGCATAAAAAAAAATACCATCCATGGCATAGAACGGGCCACCACTTCCCTTCCCCCAATAGTATCATCATCATATTTTTTTTTTGATGGGTGAAAATGGTATGGCAACCCCGCCTGCGCTAACGGGATACGCTGGCGGGGCACCAGTGAAGGGTGATAGATGAGAATGAAAACAGGCCAGTTAGCCCATCATGATGAATTCATCAGGAATTAACCATGATAGTTTCCAAGGGGAGCAGCGAGGAGGTCGACCTGGTTGGGTATATTGCTAGCAATGGGGTTCTGTCTCCATCTAACTAACCTGGCTAGCAGGGCTAGCTAGCCTGTTTTTATTCTCATCTATCACACTTCACTGGTGCTTCGCCATCCATGCTATCCCGTTAGATACACACAGATAGAAGACATAGAAAAACAATATTTGTAAATTATATTTATTGTTTTTTTATGCAATTTACAATGGCAAACAATTTGACAGCTCACCTGATAGAAAACGGTAACCGTCGCTACAGACATGAACAGTATCATGAACACAACATAGTACTACAACTGTCGTCCATGATACCCTTCATGTGTTGCCATTCTTAAGGATTAAAGTGATATGCCCCTGTACCCAGTAATTAGTTTTTTTATACAACTTAGAATGGCAAACAAGCTGACGGCTCATCTGATGGTAAGTGGTAACCATCGCCTATAGACATGAGCAGTACCATGGACATAATATAGTATACTGTTTCGCCCATGATACCCCCCCATGTGTTGCCATTCCTGAGGACTTAGGTCAGTTAAAAGTTAACCACAATTAGTTTAGTTTCCATATATTATTAATAACAGATATTATTATTAATATAAATAATATTAAGACATTTCTTTTTTATAAAACTTTGACACTATTGTATGATATAATTTGCTTTTATGGTACAACCCAACGTCACTACTACCAACATAATAGAACGACCAATCCGGGCATCTCGCGGGCATCCACCCGCCCGTTATAAGTAATAGGTACTGGCGCCCTCTACAGTAGTCTTACGCCGGCCGCCAATACGTTCGCATGTTTCATATGTACCTAGACCTAGAGCGCGCTCCCGCCATTTCTAACAACTGTGTATTACTCTGTTGCTCGTATTAAACTTGTTTTGACAATCGGGGTCTTTCAATTCACAATCCACGACTCTGCTTACAATACTTTTATAATATTCTTTTTAAAGTAGACGGTTGGCATAACTGTCCACTATGTCTATGAATGCATAGGGTACAAACAAATCATCTTATAATTAACAGGGACAAGAATCATTGTCCTCTTGATATTGTCGGTATTTTTTTTGTTGCACGACAATTGCTTTACAAGAATTGGAACTTTTGCTGGTCTCCAATGAGGCTGACGTCTCGATGATCTAGGACACAGAGTATTCAAGATGTTAGTAAAGAGATAATACTGGTGTTTTATCGACAATATTGAAAAATTATAGATACATTTAAGCAAGCGAAGTACCTATACCTTTATATATAATGAAAAACGAAAAAGTATGATTATTAATATTAATTATATTTTAAATTTCAATCTGACAGATTAAAACAATATATATATATATATATATATATATATATATATATATATCTTAGATTATATAGACATATATCTATATGTATATATTGTTGGTCACAAATGTTTCAAGAATTTTTTTCTTCTGTCTTCCACAAAAAATATCTTATTTTAAATATTGTAAATAAACTATATATAAATAAATATAATACAATACCTTCTGTACAAGTTCTTCAAAGATTAAGTTGATCCCATCATTATTCTTAGCGCTACATTCGAAATATAACATTTTGTGTTTTTGCGCGAATGCCTGCCCCTGCGCACTGCGTACCGCTCTCGGCTGCAAAATGTAGTTGAAACTTAATTGATTTTACTAAAAAAAAAAGCCCGTCAAGTGCGAGTCGGACTCGCGCAACGATGGTTTCGTACAAAATCATCAAGTAATTTTTTTTTTTGTAAAATAACTATATTTACTGTATTCGGATTTTTTCCTTCACTTGTGCTACATGACATTGCTTCTTGCGATATTTCATGATTCTATGTCAAAGGAAAGTATCCTATATTTGGTTTTGATTACCTTTGCGAATGTCAAAATATTTTTTTTTGACTGCGTATGCGTTTTCAACGTGACAACTCCACGCGTTTCTAAGAAAAAGGATGAAGACGGAAGGACGGACGGACTTATTTTTTTTTTTTTCATTTATTTGACATATGTAATTTTCTTCTACAAAAGAAAACTTCAGTCATAATTAGTATTAGACTAAGATATAAATACAATATTTTTTTTATACTACGAAGGTGACAAACAAGCATACAGCTCATCTGTTTGTATGTCACTGGTCAATGGTCACTATAGAGCCACTGTAGAAGCCATAATTAAATGACTTCAAAAATGCAAATCTATCTAAATTTTATAAGGTCTTTTATTTTAAGGTAGGGCATGGCTCCTCAATGCCAACCCCCCCCCCCTCCCCCTAGCTACGACCATGAAGGACATTTTTTTTATGCAACTTAGAATGGCAAACAAGCTGAGGGTCCACCTGATGGAAAGTGGTAACCGTCGCCTATAGATATGAGCAGCACTATGGACATAACAGAGTATACTCTTTCGCCCATGATACCCCCCATGCGTTGCTATTCCTGCCATGCCATTCTTACTATGGACATTGTTAATGACAATTTCGTAATTGTGTGCTCGGCCTGGTCGAGCAGGCGTTTCCTTTTTTATTATTGTCCTACCGTCCACTGTTGTATTTCTGGCACGGTGCCATCTTGTTTTCACTTGGATAGTTGTAACACCATTCAGAACATTATTGTTAACATTTATCTCTAATAAAACGCATTTTTATCAACCAGAGTTTATTCTAAAATAAATTTCATTGTGTCCACGACGAGACATAAATTGGCGACCGTGACAGGACCGCATCAAAATATACGGTCTGGAATTATATATCTACCGAAATTCATCATTGGAAGAAGCAAGTCGACGATTATATCCACCTGGTCATCAACAAGAACAATATAGTTGTCGTGTACGTGCTATCCCTATTGTTAATCAGTAGCAGACCTCGTGATATTCAAGAAGCAAAAGTACAAAAAACTCATAGTAAGAGACTACTATATATCGCTGAGCAGTGACGCATCAAAAGCATCACCTCGCAACATATTTATTCAGATAAGTGTCCTAAATATTCCTAACTAATAATTTCTTATATTTATAAAACCTAAAGTACATAATATATATTAAATTTCAGTATTGTTCTGCTTGTGCAAAAATCTACCTACGATAAAAATATTAGAATAAAAATATACTCCCTCTTACTAGAATCTGAGTCGTATTGTATGTATATTGTTTTTCATTTATTTTGAACTATTATAAATTATCATAATTCAATCAATCGTTATATTGATGAGAAAAAGGGAAGGTTTTTTCAAGTTAATGTACATACGCATTATATTAATGTCAACTCCTACCCACCCTTAAACAGATTAGTTTTTCATTTATTTTACTTTTATTTATTTAAAATAACGAGTGTATATACTTGTATTATACACATTAAAAACATTATAGTTATGATAACGAAACGAACGTCATCACTTTACTCCAATTAAGACCCGTTGCCGACTATTTTCAGGTTGCTGCCTGTATCTATTGCTGTTCGACAGCTGATTATATTGCTATTGCTGTTATCATCACAGCCATCTGCCTGCACCTGGATATCGCCTGACGAGGAGCGTGAGCTTACCCATTTATTATATTTATAACTTTTTTCTAACATTTAACAAATTCAATTTGCAATCAGTGAAGGCTTCTTGTAATTCATTTGTAAGTTTCCTATCTTCACGATAAGTCCTTTACGGAGTTATCAGAAGCATTAGGATAGTAATAAGGTTAATATATTACGTAGTTTGTTATTTTATTATTATTTTTTTACACACTGCTTTGGGTTTATTATATTACACATATATTAATAATAGAAAATTAACTAAAATAATAATCAATAGCATTTTCTGTTTTTATGTAAATTGCATGGAGTCTACCTACATGTAATTTATATAAATATATTTTTGTACAAACATATACATTGTAAAAACTTAATTTAACCCTTTGTCTCAGGTATATAATTGCGTAGAATATTAACTAAATTTATTTAACTAATTTTTAATAAACAAAATGACTGATCCACGAGCTTCATCTACAAGTGTGTACAAAAATACTGATTATAAAGATCTAAGTATTAAACGCAGTTCTATTAAAGGACAAATTACTAAATTTAAGAATTATTTAGATAAGATTACAAGACAGCCTAAACTGACGAATATTGAAATAACCGAGTTATCATTAAAAATCACTAAATTTGAAAGCCTCTCAGCTAGATATGATGAATTGCAAACTCAAATAGAATTGGTAAATAATGAACATTTAGAATCTGAAATTGATGAGCGTGAACGCATTGAGCATGAGTTCATATCATGTTTAGCTACAGCAAAAAATGTTGTCGACGAGCAAAATCAAATAAAAAGTGTAGAACATGATAAGACACGACGCGAATCTCTTTTTCAAGAAGCTCAATGCAGTCTCGATCATAATGAGTGTCGTGTTAAATTACCTCAAATCAATATTGAGAGGTACAACGGATCGGTTTTTCGTTGGCTTGAGTTCAGAGACACATATACTAGCTTAATTCATAATAATGAGCACATCCCACCAATACAAAAATTTCACTACTTAATTTCATATCTAGAAGGTGATGCTGCTCGTGTTATTTCTAATATTGAAGTGTCAGCGTCTAACTATAACAGTGCATGGCAATTACTTTATGATCGTTATAACAACAAGCGTCTACTCATAAATCACCATTTAAAATCTTTATTTAACAAGCCACTCGCGAAACTGAAGATTCTTTGCGCTATTTAGTTGACCACATAACCAAAAATCTACGTGCTCTCTCTAGCTTAGGTCAACCAACAAACCATTGGGATACCATTATTATTTTTATTATTACATCTAAGCTTGATAATCGTACACTTCTGAAGTGGGAAGAGCAACGTAATATTATAGATGAATTACCAAATTTAGAACAATTCAAGAAATTTTTAATTGATCGAGCATTTGTTCTCGAATCTATGCGTCGCAATAGATCTGACACTAATAATTTATTATCAGGTAATTCATCAACTTATAAGCATAATAATAATAAACACGCAATCAATACAAAGTCATTTGCTACTACTAGTCAAAATAAAGTATGGCTATGTATTATTTGTAATCAGAATCACAAAATTTATGACTGTCCAATTTTTAAGTCTAAATCCATTAAAGATAAGTTAATTGAAGTTTCTAAATATAAATTATGTCCTAATTGTTTACGGCAAGGTCACCCTGTTAATGAATGTCGCATGGGTCCCTGTAAGCAATGCAAAAAACCTCACAATACTTTATTGCATTCAATTGACAATACAAAAGTCAATAATGCGCAAATACGTGAAGAAAATTCAATGGTTAATTTCTCTAAAGAAGTTAATCGACAAGTTCTTTTATCGACTGCTCTAATTGAAGTTTTGAATCCAGTAACCAAGGAGGCAACCAAAGTGCGTGCCTTATTGGATTCAGGCAGTCAATCATCATTTATTACAAAAAAACTACATGAAAAATTATCACTAAATTCAACTCCTATTTCCATGAATGTTATTGGTATTGGCCATAATGCTACCAATAATATAACTGAAAGTTCTATGGTACAAATACAATCCCTAAATAATAAAAGTAAATTTAAATTAAATTGCTTCGTTCTTGATAGACTTACAGGAAGTTTACCACAATTTTGTGTAAATTTAAATTTACCCAAACAGATTATGTTAGCGGACCCAACATTTGACCAACCAGGTCCTATCGATATGTTGATAGGTGCTGACCTCTTTTGGGACATTATACTATCTGAGCAGACTTCCTTAGGTCCAAACAAACCAAAACTTCGTAATTCTGTATTTGGCTGGCTGATCGGCGGTCCCATAAATACATGTAAAAATAATGATATTCATTGTAATAATATAATTGTCAATGCACCTTTATCTAAAGAATCAAATGTTGACGCCCTTCTTACTAAATTCTGGGAACTAGAAGAGCTTCCTCAAAAAACTATTTTAAATCCAATAGAATTAGCTTGCGAAAATCACTTTCGTACACATGCACATCGTCTTGAAACAGGTAGGTTTTCCGTAAGTTTGCCACTTCGAGACTCACCAAATTGCTTGGGTGATTCTTATACTCTTGCTAAAAAACGTTTCACTAATCTTGAGAAGCGTTTTCGAAGGAATCATTCTTTGAAAATGGAATATATTAAATTCATGACCGAGTATGAAAATTTGGGTCACCTTTCAGAATCTCCTATTAGATTGCCAAATCCATCATACTTTTTATGTCATCATGCGATTTTTAAAATAGAAAGTGAATCGACTAAAATAAGAGTTGTTTTTGATGGTTCCGCACCTTCGTCCTCTGGTTTCTCAGTTAACGATTTGCAGATGATTGGCCCAAATGTACAGGATTCTCTCTTCTCCATTTTAATTCGTGCCCGACAATATAAATATCTACTTACCGGTGATGTAGAAAAAATGTATCGACAGGTTGAAGTCAATCCGGATGACAGAAACCTGCAGTTAATATTATGGAGAGAAGACGAGTCTTTACCTATCAAAACAATGCAACTAAATACTGTCACTTACGGTACAGCAAGTGCCAGTTATTTAAGCACGAGATGCTTGTGGCAAGTTGGTGATGAGTGTACTGATGAATTAATAAAAACTATTATTCAAAGGGACTTTTATGTAGACGATCTAATTACGGGTTCAAATGACGAGATGGAATTACAATACATCCAAAATTCAGTGGCTACAGAATTGAATAAAGGATGTTTTAATTTACGTAAATACAAATCTAATTTACCCAATATTATTCAAAATTCTTCCAACATTGCTTCTCAGGGTAACCTGATTATTAGTGAATCCTCAAGTACTCTTGGTCTAGGGTGGAATCCTAATAGCGATACATTACATTTTCCTATAAATATACCAATTCCAAGCGAAACCATAACAAAAAGATTTATTATGTCTAATGCTTTTAAGATTTTCGATCCTTTGGGTCTGCTGAGTCCTTGTATAATGCAGCCAAAACTTATGCTTCAAAAGCTATGGCAGCTTAAAGTTGGTTGGGACGAACCCGTACCTGACAACATTGAGCAAGCCTGGCAGGATTTTGCCAATGGATTACCAGTTCTGTCCAATTTACAAATTCCTAGATTCGTTGCATGTGTTTCGCCAAAATTCATAGAAATTCACTCTTTCAGTGATGCGTCCCAAGTAGGTTACGGTGCATGTGTATACGTGAAAACTATAGATATCAACGGTGAAATTTTAGTTAAGTTACTTTGTTCAAAATCAAAAGTAGCTCCACTAAAACCTACTTCAATACCTCGCTTGGAGCTTTGTGCGGCACTTCTTGCTGCTCGACTATCCAAAGCAGTAATAGAGTCAATAAGGTATGTTCCTGACCGCATAATCCATTGGTGCGATTCCAGCATCGTATTGGGATGGTTAAAAGGAGATATATCTAAATTAAAAACATTTGTGGCTAATAGAATAGGTGAAATCCAAGAAAACACGCAGTCGTCTTCCTGGCGTTATGTTCCCACTGCAGAGAATCCTGCCGATTTAATTTCACGTGGTGTAAGTGCCGATCAGCTGTGTCATACAGACATGTGGTGGAAAGGGCCCAAATTTCTGCAAAAGAAAGAAGACGAATGGCCAGTTTTAAAACATGATAATTTTAATAATTTACCTGAGCTTAAAGTGGTTGCTACGTCCGTCATTGTAAACAAATCAATAATAGAAATGGAACGGTTTTCAAATCTTAATAGACTGCAAAGATCGGTCGCTTATGTCAATCGCTTTATATACAATATAAAAAACCCCAATATCAAAATATCAGGCCCATTAACTGTTGAAGAGTTGAACAAATCTTTTAACTTTTTATGCACTATATCCCAACAAGAAAGTTTTCCCATTGAACTTAAAGCGTTATCAAATGAAAAATTTTTGAATACGAAATCAAAAATATTATCATTGTCACCGTTTCTTGATAACGATAACTTAATACGAGTGGGTGGGCGTATAGACGCTTCAACCTATCCATATAATAAAAGACATCCAGTTTTATTAGATTCGTCTCATTATTTATGCAAATTGATATTTAGAGCAGAGCACATTCGCAACATGCACGCTGGCCCACAACTGCTTCTAGCCACAGTCAGACAAACTGTTTGGCCCATTAAGGGTAGGTTATTAGCACGAGCAACTGTACGTAAATGTGTACGTTGCCGACGAGTTTTAGGAAAGACGTTATTGCCAAAAATGGGTGATCTACCCTCACAAAGAATTACGCCAGATTTTCCTTTTACATCTGTTGGTATTGACATGGCTGGACCCTTTATTACATTAAATCGAAAGGGACGAGGAGCTAAATTATCTAAGTCTTATTTATGTTTATTTGTATGTCTCCGGTACAAATGCGTTCATTTGGAGGCTGTAAGCGACCTCACTAAGGATGCTTTTATTATGACCTTACGTCGGTTTATATGTCGTCGCGGCAAGCCAGCGGAAATATTTTCCGATAACGGTCGTAATTTTGTTGGAGCCGCTAAAGAACTTAATGGTTTTCTAAAGACTAATAATGAAACATTATCTGAGTTTGCAGTTCAGGAAGGCATTAAATTTATTTTTACTCCTTCTTACGCTCCTCATTTTGGTGGTATTTGGGAAGCAGGAATCAAATCTTCCAAACACCTTATACGTCGTGTAATGGGCAATTCTCATTTAACCTTCGAGGAACTTTCGACTCTTTTTGCACAAGTGGAATCTATATTGAATAGTCGTCCATTGTGTCCCTTATCCTCTTCCCCAGACGACTTCCTATTCCTTTCCCCAGGGCACTTTCTGATTGGAAAACCGCTGAATGCTTTGCCATCCCCTTGTCTAGAAGACTATAAGGAAAGTTGCTTGCGTCGCCATGCACGTCTTGAGCAAATAAGACAGCATTTTTGGCGAAGATGGCAACAAGAATACATCTCTGAATTACAAGTACGGACCAAATGGAAACTTGATACAGCCAAAGTAAAGATTGGAGATTTGGTCTTGCTGCGTGAAGATACTCTTCCTCCGTTATGCTGGCGTACTGGTCGAGTAACAAAATTATATCCAGGACCTGATGGAATCTCTCGTGTCGCAGATGTAAATACAAAGACAGGATGTTACCGGCGACCTCTTGTTCGCCTCTGCCCTCTTCTTGCTGATGAAGACTATTAACGATGGAGACGGTTGAAGAGCGAGTCTTCAACGGGGGAGTTTATGTTAATGACAATTTCGTAATTGTGTGCTCGGCCTGGTCGAGCAGGCGTTTCCTTTTTTATTATTGTCCTACCGTCCACTGTTGTATTTCTGGCACGGTGCCATCTTGTTTTCACTTGGATAGTTGTAACACCATTCAGAACATTATTGTTAACATTTATCTCTAATAAAACGCATTTTTATCAACCAGAGTTTATTCTAAAATAAATTTCATTGTGTCCACGACGAGACAGACATAACAGAGTATATTCTTTCGCCCATGATACCCCCCATGCGTTGCTATTCCTGCCATGCCATTCCTACTATGGACATAACAGAGTATATTCTTTCGCCCATGATACCCCCCATGCGTTGCTATTCCTGCCATGCCATTCCTACTATGGACATAACAGAGTATATTCTTTCGCCCATGATACCCCCCATGCGTTGCTATTCCTGCCATGCCATTCCTAAAATAAGATTATGAGAGGTTTGAGTTTAATTTTAACCATTCTAAGTTGTATAAAAAAAAAAGAAATAAAATCATTTATTTAGCTACAAAATATAACAACATTGAAGAGAATTTTATACATTAAAATAATAATTCTGTAACAGCAGCTGAAATGGTCACCACTCAGCGTAAGCTGCAGCGTGGTGCTGCAGCGCTGATTTTCAGTGACACTCGAGAAACAGGAATAAATCTATAATACACTACTAAATGGACCTTATATAAGATATCAATATTATATATAAATATAATAATATATTATTTATTGTATAACATATACCTTTACAACAAGGTATAACGAAGATATATAAAATAATTGTGTATTCTAAATATAATGCATCAGTTATAATTTATCTGCCAAATTTATAGTTTTTGTACTTGTATCAAATACTTTTTTAAACAATATTTAAAAGACAAAAATGACACACAGACGAAGGAAGACAGAAGACGAATTAAAAGCTAGTCACTGGTACAAGAAAACCTGGACTCACCCTGTCAATTTTATTTCCTGCAACTAAGCACACTACATTCTCTCTTGTAGTATTATCTTTAAGTTCTTGAAGCCACTTCTCTAAGTTGGCTAGTGTTTGTGGTTCTGTCGTGTCATAAACGAATATGGCGCCGTGTGCATTTCTGGAAAATATTTTTTTCCAATTATATATATATATATATATATATTAAGAAAAATTACTGATTGCAGACAATCAAAATTGGCCGTACCTACGTTGAATCAACGACCATCAAAACGTTTATTACATCTAGATAGAAAAAACCTCAAAATAATGATAGGGACAATAACGGGTCCATTGTCCATTAAACAAACATCTATACACAATAGGAGCCACAGACAGCCCTCTATGTCGATGCTGTTTCGACGCCGAAGAAACGGCTTCTCACGTGATCCTGGAATGTGAGGCTGTGGCCCATCAACGTTCAGAAATCCTCGGAATGGTGAGGTCACTCCGTGAGGCCTGTGAAGATCCCGGGAAGCTTCTGCGCTTCTGGGCGGAGCTAGGTTGGCTGTACTAGCCACGACTCATACGCACAACGGCCCAAATGAGAGGCTAAGCGCGGAAAATAGAATCCTATTCACATTTCATATTAGGAAAAATATAGATACGTTGTAGAAAATGGTTTACCATCACAGGTGCAAAATATTATTACTGCATAATGTCTCTTAAATTATGATATTTAATAATAACAATTACAATAATAAATACCTTATGTCAATTCAGATACAAATAACAATAATAAATAAATAAAAAAAAAACAATAAACATTTAAAAAAAATTAAATAAATACAAGTTTTTTTTTGATGGGTGAAAATGGTATGGTAACCCCGCCTGCGCTAACGGGATACACTGGCGGAGCACCAGTGAAGGGTGATAGATGAGAATGAAAACAGGCCAGTTAGCCCATCATGATGAATTCATCAGGAATTAACCATGATAGTTTCCAGGGGGAACCGCGAGGAGGTCGACCTGGTTGGGTATATTGCTAGCAATGGGATTCTCAGTTTCCATTACTAACAATCCCTTTCCCCCCAAATACAAGTATTAAATATCAACAGTAAGATGACCACCCACTAATCGGAGTGATGACCACAAATGCACTGCAGGAAGTCAGTGAATGCAGGTGGCTCAGGACCGTTCCTTATGGCAAACTATGGGGGAGGCCTATGTTCAGCAATGACTGGATAATGGCTGAAATGATGATGATCATTAAATATTAATATTTAAATTCAATTCAGACCCAATCATTATTTAAAACATTGCTAACTGTATAATAATTTTTTTTTTTTTATAAGGTGAAAATGTAATGGAAACCCTGCCTGTGCTAACAGTATACGCTGGCAGGGTACCAGTGAGAGGTGATAGGTGAGAATATAAAGGTCAGTTAGCCCATCATGATGAATTCAACGATAAATTAGTCACAATAGTTTCCAGGGGGAATCGTGTGGAGGTCGACCTGATAGGGTATATTGATAGCAATGGGAACTAACCTCTTCATTACTAACAATCCCTTCCTGGCATATAAATAATGTTATATTATGGTATTCTCCTTTGTTATTTATTTGTTACTTTATATTCTTTTTTGTTTTTTTTTTTATGTAACTTAGAATGGCAAACAAGCTGACGGCCCACCTGATGGAAAGTGGTAACCGTCGCCTATAGACATAAGCAGTACCATGGACATAACAGAGTGTACTGTTTCGCCCATGATACCCCCCATGCGTTGCCATTCCTGAGGACTCAGGTGTTATTCCTCTGTACCCTGTAAATTCACGCCATACCCCACCCTTCAAACCGAAACACAGCCATGCAAACACAACCGCTTCATGGTAGAAACACAAATGGGACAGAGGTAACCAAGCAATCGACTTTTGTACAAAGTCTCCCTCATCCCATACTACAGTGTAAAGGCAAATCTGAAGGTCCCTCCTCATATTAAGGAACAGAAAATGGTAGTGCACCATACACTTATGAAATGTTGGTGAACTCCGGCTATAGAGCCGGCCATAGGGCAAGAAGTACCATAAACTAAAATTGCATATTATACCTGTAGAAACTAGGAATCAATGAGCTGAATTTCTCTTGGCCTGCTGTGTCCCATATTGACAGCTTCACTTTAACTCCATTCACTTCAATATCTTTGATTTTGTAGTCAACTCCAACTGTGACAGGTTGTAATGGATTGTATCGGCCTTTTGTGAATGCTAGGATAATGCTAAAATTTGCAATATAATTTATTAAATTATATTTTATTTTAATTTTATATTAATTTATAATTAATTTATAATTTAATTTAATTTAAATTATAATATTAATTTTTATTTTTATTTTAATTTATAAAACTTAAATATATAGATTCATCTCCATATCAGCCTTTAACTGTCCACTGCTGAACATAGGCATCCTCTTTGATTTTGGGGTTGGTATATTCTATGCCGGGACCGCACAGTCAAATATATATATATATAGATTAATGTATGTTATTCTTTCACATTTAAACAGCTGAATGACTCTGAATTAAATTTTGTGGAAGTATAGGCCAAAACTCCCCTTCTTCCCTTTATGAGGGAAGTCCTATATTTAGCAGTGAACAATTAAAGGTTGACATAAAGAGAAGTTATTTAACACATTCTATTCCATTATATTATTTCACTTGAGCAAAGCCATGGGGATACAGCTAGTCCATATATATCCATACTATTAAAATGTCAAAGTGAATTTGTTTCTTTGTCACTATTATTGTTGTTATTTGTAGACAACTTAAATAATATCGTTTGTCTTTATAAATATAATACTACTGACAATTATTAGAGATACAACTAACTCCCTCCCCCCCCCCCCCATTCCTCTAGCAGACAGGTGTTTATTCTTTCTATGCATACTTAACACCTACTCACAATTACATATTGTCTTATTATAATTCTATTTGCAATTTCAAGGTAATTGTGAATTACGTCCGTAAATAAGGAAAACAAAACGCATAAATTCTGTATTATGTTTTAAAAAAGTGTAGGAAACTGGTAAAGAGATAAAAACCAATAAATTCTTACTTGGTCTTGCCGACGGCACTGTCTCCTATTAATAGGATTTTGAATCTGACTCCGTCCATTTTTAACTTTTACTTTGCCGATTATTATTATATATATACATATATTTGATTTTAATTATTATACAACAAAAAATTTCACTGTAATTAATTTATCGTGCTCAATCAGAAAGCAACGATTCGTTCACTATCAGAAATTATGATAAAGGAACTTTTTACTGTATTATTATATGTGTGTATGTGTCGACAATCGACAGATTGTCTATGGTCGGGTTTTAACATACTAGCGGCCATGTTGCCAACTCCAATAAAGCTGTGTTACTAGTACATATAGAAATTATCGCTACATTTAATTTATTGTCATTTAGTGATTTTTTATTATTATTCGCAGGATAATAATATATATAAATAATAAAGTTATTTCTTACTCGCATTGACTTAATGTCGATTTCGTTACTATTAGCTATTGAAAGTGAAATATGTATATATTATGATTTTTATGATAAAAGTAAACGAATAGAGACTTTAATGCAGTACGATAAATGCTCTATTCACTCACTCTGTACGGCTTAATCGGCCGTCTGCTGAAGTTTCACTTCACTGCGAGCACAGCCTATGACACACAAATAAATCCGAATACTGCAATTTTTTGCAGTTTTATTAGTGATTTAAAGAAGTCTATATAAAACGATGTAACTGGAATGATATATAATTTCACGTTAATTTCTTGAAATAGAGTCGGAGAATTGTGTTTCAAAATTAATTACAATTTCTAAAACCGTTTTGATTTTTATCCTAATTTATCAGATAAATTGATTATAATTATTTTTGTTGTCAAACATTTTTTAGAAAACAAATTTTCTAAATTGGCAACACTGATGAGCTAAATTTATGACATTCAGTCATAAATATATCAGATTGACTGCTTGATGTCAATTGATGACATTGAGTATTGTGTTAAACTGACATTAATTTGTTGCGTTTTGTTACTGCTAAATGACTACTTGTCTATACGACGTTTTAAATGAAATCTGATAGTGATTACCTGCTTACTCAATGCTTTTAAAAAATTATTAAATTATTTTTTACTTATTAGAGTAAACAATAGTATGTTCATAAAATTCGGTGTTTGTTACTTGTAACAATCCAGGTTCTAAATTTATCCATAACGAAGTTACAAGGGGTCAAAAATGTCCGGAACGATCTCGAGAAAAGGATAAATGGCAGTATGATAGTGCTTTGCTTGTTTTTGAGTGACTTGCCGTGCCTATATATAGATATATAGATACCTTAATGTTATATAAGTAAGTATAATTCAATATTTATGGTATGTCGTTACTTAACGATTAGTCGAGCGATTTACAAGTATTTGTATACCGTGTTTTTCAGCAAACAAATTATATTATTATTTATATGTAAACTTTATTACTTAGCGTTAGCTGGTATATACGCTACTTTAAGTATACTGCACTTACGGGCCGAGACCAAATAAGTGCAGTGTGTGAGTTTTTGTGTGTATGTATGTGCGCGCCCATGCGTGCATGTGTATGTGCATGCTCACGCACCTATGGCTATGTGTATGCAACTATTACATTTTATGTCTCTGTGGTATTATGAAATGTTTTGTTTTCTATTTGCTGTTATTATTATTATTAGTTCTTTATGTAGGATTTTTTTCTTCACATGCTTTATACTGTCAATTATTAATCAATTTTGGCCCTAAATTAAGCTCAATAGGATTTTTAATGGGTGATAATGAAATGGTAATCCTGCTTACGCTGACGCTGGCAGAATACCAGACGTGAGAACATACTCGCAAACGGTCAGACAGCCACAATTTTTCTTTTAAATTAGTTTTGACATCTGTTGCTCTTTTAAAACGCCTTACAACATTATTTTAAATATCTTCCATGTGCAGCATTATCCAGTTCCAAATTTATTTTATTAGTAAGACAAATAGTAAAATAATTTTCTTGTTTCATTAAACAACAACATGACATGACATGCTAAAGAATAATCCCCTTATTCACAAAAATGTCAAACCTCTAGTATTAGTAACCTATTTTAGCTATTATACTGTTTTGTCTCTTTCTTTTACTCTATTTGAAGAAATTCACAATTTAAAAAAACTGACAAAACAGTGTAATAGTTAAAATAGTAGAAAGTAGGAGGTTTTAATTTTATGAATAAGGGAGTAAAGTTAGGTTAATGGGATAATTTTGGATTAAAGGGGGTAACTTTAAATATTAAAGTCACTGTCAGCGTCTGCCATTTTTTCAGTGACTTCAAAACCGCACAACAGATTTTGTTACGTGTGTACCTGTCATTTACATATATTTTACATGTTTGTATGTGTAATTAGCACGTGTGCGGTGTCAGATGGGTCGAATTTTATTAATATACTTAATAGAGATATTAATGCCAATTCTGAAGTGTCATTCCTCTAAACTTATCTCTTAACCCAATATTTTAAATTAAAAATTTTTGTTTTATGGACCATCCTTGTACTGTTTTAGTATCTGTGTAAGCTGTCAGTAGCAACTGTCAGAATTGAAATTTAATATGTCATTTAATTGTCAAGTGAGTTGTCTAGATTCTAGACTACTATTCTTTCTCGTCATCGATATATTCACATATCAGAGAGACTATATTTAAACCTAAAAACAAGAATCACATAGAAGAAATAATAGAATAAAAACTGTAAATTATATGGTTGCCTCCGTTCTTCTTATGCAAGTATAATTAGTAAAAAAAGGACAAAAAGATACACTATCAGTTGCTATTTTTCTCAATTAATAGCAGGCCTTGTTCTATCAATCAAAATTACAGATTTTTCGGTCGTTTTTTGTACAATAAAATTTTTAATTATTAAACAGATTTATTCTGAATCAGTTAAAAAATATACTACGTCGACTTCCCTGGTATGTCGACAGTAAAATTTATTCGAAGCGTCAATTTGCCCATGGCGGGCCTATCTAGTAGAATTTATGTCGTCAGTGGGGCACGTCGCGTCCGCGAGCCGCCGACGTCTCGTCGCGCGAACTCCTCCAAATCCAATTTAAAGTGTCACCAAGGATAAAATACTGTCGCGAGGGAATCCGCAGCGTCATACTATGAACAAGATGAATTATTGTACGGGATGTTACAAGAATTCCGTATGAAAGACGAAAGTCTACCGGCTGAGAGACGCGCTTTGACATTTTAACCTCGCCTGTCAGGATGCCAAGCGAGAATTGTATTAAGTGAATATATGTTATAAAAATATTTTACTACTAGTCGTTTCCCGTGGCGTTACTCGCTTCTAACTATCTAATTCCCGTATATCATTCCCATTGGAACTCTTCATGAATCCGGTCTTATATTGTATTATATACTTAAATGATAATTACGTACTTTCATAAAATTTCAGCTAATTCAACTGATCGGTTATTTTATAGCATTTTATATGTGATTCTTTAAATTGATATAACTTTTTTATTTATGAACCGATTGAAATAAAACAATCACTAAATGTTAAGTGAAGTAAACGGAAACGCATTAGTGAACACCGCAAATTGGTTAAGCTGTTTCTGAGATAAGCGTGCACAAACGTACAGACAAAAATTCTAAAAATCATTGTTATAAATTCTGTTATATTCAAGTTTAAGTATTATTTATATAATAATAGCCCTTATAATAGTTTTTCTTATATATCTTCCATGTACAGACAGCGACCAGTTACGATTTTGTTATATGTATTTTTCTATACCACTGAGGTGGCAAACAAGCATACGGCCCAGCTAGTAATACCAGAGGTATTACGTGCGCGTTGCCGACCCTGAAGAAACCTCATTATCCCGCTTTTGAAGAACCCCATACTGTAATCTCTTGGGAAAACCTTTATTATATGTATATTTTAACGTATGTATTTATAATTTATTTTTTTTTTGCAAAGAAAAATAAATACGTAGACACTTTTGAAGTTACAATAACACAATTTTTGAAGCAACTTGAAACAGCAGAAGGCCCTCTTTAATGGAAAGCGGCAACCGTCAATCTATAAATAAACAATGCCATGTACAAATCAAAACATACATTTAAAAGTGTACAAATCTTTCAAATCCAAAGTATTATTGTCGTCATAACTATTTATTGTATACTCAGTATTGTAATTTTTATCATTTTTCATTCTAATAGTTATATATTATATTATGAATACGCGTGTCGTGGCGGCCTTTATTTAAGGCAGCATTTCATAATGTAACCTTATTATCATGTAGTTTAAAAAAGTAAGGCCCTATGATGCCATGGGCTGACATAGCGGCCCAAACTGTAACTTTAGGGCTATGTAAGGGCTTCTGGTGCTTAAGTTTTGGATTAATCGGGCTCCAATAGCGGCAATTTTGTTTACTAACATGTCCGTTAATGTGGAAGTGTGCCTCATCAGAGAACATTATGTTATTGAACGAAGTAAACTGATTAAACATTTCATTAGCATAATTCACTCTCTGAATAGCATCAGTTTCTTTTAATTCTTATAAATAAAGCAATTATAAATGTATGCTTTGTTGATTGTCCTTAAATAAATAAATAAAAATATAATACTATAATGCTTACGGTACCAGTCAAGCTTGGCCATTCCCGAGGACTAAGACGTTACGCTTCCATATCCTATAATTTCACAATATCTTCCTTTAAACCGAAGCACAGCCATGTAAGCACTGCCACTCGACCTAAGGAACCAAATAGTCCAAAGATATTTATTTACTTATTTAACTCTATATTGCACCATAAACAACAATATACAATGACAATTTTTTTTTGATGGGTGAAAACGGAGTGGTAACCCCACCTGTGCTAACGGGATACGCTGGCGTAGCACCAGTGAAGGGTGATAGATGAGAATGAAAACAGGCCAGTTAGCCCATCATGATGAATTCATCAGATATTAACCATGATAGTTTCCAGGGAGAACCGCGAGGAGGTCGACCTAGTTGGGTATATTGCTAGCAATGGGATTCTCAGTCTCCATTACTAACAATCCCTTTCCCCCCATACAATGACAATTGAACAATTCAAGTGAAATACAGTAACATGAATACAGATTGAAATATACACATAAAGGTACAAAAGGCGGTCTTATCGCTATGGCGATCTCTTACAGACAACCATAAAAAAAACTAATGACACCCATGCAAACGTCCTTGTACTCGTGCAAAGTTGACCTCTAGTAACG